AAGTTTATTACTTTGGGCTACAACAGAAACTTTTGATTATATCTTACATTTGTAAAGCTCATTGTCATTACTAAGAAGTTCCAGAAAGCTCGCAAGATCCTTTTTAATGTTAAGCAGAACAACTCCTCTGCAAAAATTCAGCAAGCTTTGGTTTAAAAAAAAAAAAAATAAATAAAAACCACTTTCAGAGATGCTGCTTGAAATATGTTATTATATAAGCATAAATGAAAAACCAAACTGAACACATACATTCTTTCAGGAAGAGCCTTTTAAAACACAAACATGTAGCAAATCACTCAAAGACTTCCTTTAAAACCAGTCCTTCCATTTATATGGAAACAAATAATTTTCCAAACAGAACAATTTTGTTTGTTTTTAGAAACAGGACAGTAACAATTGCTGATACTTCAAGGGATGGGGTTTGTTGTTTGTTTTTTTTTTAACAAGAAGTACTGTTTATGCTGTTATTTTTTAGCAAGTCACCTTTTCAGATCCTCTGGCTTTCCCCATCCTCTTATGAAAAGTTTGGTGAGGAGAAGCTTTCTGTACAAGACATCTAATTTACTTACACCCATCTGCAGCAAACTGACATCTAGAAAAAAGAACAAATAAAAACAAGACAGTTAAAGGGGTTGAGTGGCAAGTTCATTGATTGTAACACAAAGTAGGTTCTTATTCTGGTGTCTCTATCAATGAAAAGCCATAACATTTTATTCCAAGGAAGTTAAACTTGACCTTCAGGTCAATTATTTTCATTTTAAACAAAATACAAGTGTAGTTAGGTGGAGGTTTTTTGTTTTGATGTTTGGGGGTTTTTTATGGGTTTGTTTGTTTGTTGGCTTTTTTTGTTTTGGGTTTGGGGTTTTTTTTTGTTTTTAGGAAAACGGAATTTAGGAGTAGGGTTTTAACATGCCTAATATAACCAGAAATCTATTATGTAACTGTCCTGGGTTCAGCTACAGCAGTCATTTTTTCGCCTTCTTAGTAGCTGGTGCAGTGCTGTGTTTTTGACTTTCAGTCTGGGAACAACGCTGATAACACCGATGTTTTTAGTTGTTGCTAAGTAATGTTTACTCTGACCAAGGACTTTCTCAGTCTCATGCTTTGCCAGAGAGGAGGGGAAGCCAGGAGGAAGCAGAGACAGGACACCTGACCCAAACTGGCCAAAGGGGTATTCCATACCACAGCACGTCATGCCCAGTATAGAAACTGGGGGGAGTTACCCGGAAGGCCCAGATCGCTGCTCGGGTCGGGCTGGGTATCGGTCGGCGGGTGGTGAGCGGTTGTGTCCTTTTCCCTTGTTATTCCTCTTATCATTATTATTGGTAGCAGTAGTGGTTTGTATTATACCTTAGTTACTGGAGTGCTGTTATCTCAACTCGTGGGAGTTACATTCCTTCGATTCTCCTCCCCATCCCTCCGGGAGCGGGGGGAGGAAGAAAAAGGGGGGGAGTGAGCGAGCGGCTGCGTGGTTCCAAGTTGCCGGCTGGGCTTAAACCACGACAGTAACTGATGACAAGCCAACTGAAGAGGCACATAATGTCACAGAACTACATCTTCAACCAGTCCTAAGTGTACTTTAATTGAACTGATAAAACTAAGAGTGGCATTGATCTCTGCCCTGTCAAGATAGCAGTGATGGCAAAAACTTTTCAGTCAACATGGGCTTTCATAAGCACATCTCAGGAAGGAAGCTTGAAACAATATTTAAACAACCAGAAGACTCTAGCTATGTAATTACAGATCTCTAGCTATGTAATTATTTGTTGATTAAAAAAAAAAAAAAAAAAGGAAAAAAAGTAGCTCCAGTCACTGACGCAGAGAAAGTTTATTTTTCTAAGCTTGTCTTTGTTGGTATCTTAAACATATATCCTAACCCTTATTTTACTCATTCCTTTCCAAATTTCACCAACTCATTTCTTATGAGTTTTGAAAATGATGCTCCCATTCCTCTCAGGGAAGAAATCACACCATCTAAATCCTTGCCAGTATAATTTCTCTTTAAGCAAATATACTACCTCAAATATAGCTAAAGACAACAAGATTTTAGACAAGCTGAGCACTATTTTCAAAGCAATACTTACTGAAGTAAACAGGGAGCCACTACTGTGCTTTTCCGGGGGGGGGGGGGGGGGGGGGGAAAAAAATTAGAATTTGAATTTGGTTTCTTGCTTAGCAGGATACAGGTGATTCAATTACAAAAAACAACTCCAGGGTCTGTGTACACCTAAGAAAACAACAGATTTAATGATCAATGGTTAGTAAGTTACCTTCAAATATTTTCTAGTATTTCCAGATCCCTCCGTACTAAATGGACTAAACTTCATCATACTCCAAAATAGTGTATTTTTTTTTTCTTTTTAATCCAAAGTTCATTTATTCTGCCACACTTTAACATGGTTATTCTTAAAATACCCCTATCTGAATATAACAAGTAAAAATTGTGGTCAGATTAATAAATACATTTCTTTGCACTTCTAAAAAGCCAATACTTAAAGAGTTTTTCTTTTTTCCATATATTGATTCTTAACACCTAGAGTAAATTATTATTCAAATAGAAATTATAGACAATTTAAGATACATCAATACTAGAACAAGCATTCTAGAAAGCCACCACGGTTCTATATTCTGCCACTACAGGGCAGAAATAAATACCTGAAAACACCAGGAAGTCAAAGTGGGGACATCATATTTTAACACTGTAGAAACATGAGTTCCTACTCCACCAGTCCCAAACAGCTGACTCTGTCAGCTCATTATTCTGACCCATATCTGCTTGGTCTAACAGAATCACAACCTAACTGTAGTCTTTTTCCTTGCCCACCCTGGAGATATCCATTGACCACACGTGCTGTTGGAGTGTCAGATGGGAAGTGTTTGGTAGCCTCTGCAGGGTCCCTCCTCTGCTTTTTGGAGCAGGGGGACAGCTTGGCATTTTCCTGGTGCTTAAAGAGAACTGGGTGGTGGAGACAGGGACAGCCATACAGAGCAGACCCTCTGTGGGGCTGGGAAAACAGTTCGGAGTGGGTACGCACAAGTAAATCTATGCTGTCAAAAATATACTGAAACTGGATTTGCATTTCTACCAGTACACTGCTTACCAGTAATAGTGAAAAGAAATATTAATGAATGCTGTGATGCTTAACAAAGCAGCCTTGTTTGGTTGTAGTTTTGGTGTTTTGCTTGGTGAGGAGTTGTTTTTTTTTTAAATCTCCTCCAAATTAAAAGCCAAATAAGAGAGAAACACAAAGATGTTGATTTTGCTGCGAGTTCGAAGGCTGGCCTGATGAGCTCTCTCTATTGCACCAAGAGTATGCCAAAGTTTCTAGGCAAATCCATTACATTTAAATGGAACATTGATTGAGGTAAAAGAGTTGTCTCATCCTGTGAATATTCTAGTTCATTGATTGAATGAAGGCTCCAAGGGAGTTCAGGATATTTCAATTAATCACATTCAAGATTAAACCACTACTGGAAAGAGTACAGGAAACGCCAAGCAAAATAAAAAAAATATTCCAAGTACCTGAAGTACGCTGTATAAAACTTCTCAGAAATATTACTGGGATAAACAAAATGGGAGGATGAACCCTATTTTATCTTAGTAACAAAAGGGACGGCCATGCCTCAGTCACTGCCCATCAGTGTCTACATGGAAATACAATTACAAATACTTTCAGAAAAGGCAAATCCAGCTGTCGGAGGCTGAAGTTTTACAACTTCATGGTAGAAATAAAGAGTGTATTTTAGCAGTGAGAGTTTGAACATCGGAAAAGAATCAGCAGAGCTTGTTTTGGAATAAGACTGGAGTTTGTTCCACAGCTTGATTCCACATGTGTCATATCACCATCCCTTTGTAAGACAGGCCAGCCGGAAGCAGTGACCTGATAAAGATGTCGCATAGTTGCATAGCCCAAGATACAGTACCTGTGTTATGAATATTTAACAAATATACCGCTAACACTGTGAGCTTTACATAATTATAAATTGTGAATAGAAATTGTAACAGATACAAAGGCACATTAAGAAGTGACACACTAAAAAACCTCTACATTTTAATACAGTATTTTCCAGAGAAAAAGATATGGAAACCTACAGATAAATTATACTTAGGCCCTTACTCTAGGAAAAGTGTTTTTCTTTGCTTTCACAACCCTCATGCTGCATATTAATTATACATTTTTGATGTGTTCACATATTTCATAGAAACAGATACAAAATTCATCCAAATTCCAATGCATAAAAGGTCAGCTGCTCCTTTTTATCCAGTGCATGCCATTCTGCTTATAAGACAAACACCACTGGAAAGTATATAAAGACTTTATTAAAGGCCCAGAATACTACTTCTATTCATGAATATAAACATTCAGCTCCCACCAAGCAGCCAAGCTGAAAAAGCCAAGAAGGTATACCTATTTTAGAAGGCCAAGTCCTTAACTTTTCTGCCCCGTTACTGCTCCTTAAGAATCTTTCTCCCAGTTAACGTTAGGTCATGCTTTATTTTTTCCTTTTTTTTAAAAAAGAAAAAAAAAGCAGTCTTTCAATAGAAGAAAGACTGCTTAAAAAACCCGAAATCACAAAGACGTCACGCCGACAACCCAGAAACAAGCCCCACAACAGGAGGGATACAGAGGAACCTGCGGATAAACAAAGGGGCCTAACCCAGAAGCGCTACACACGCCGCCCGCCGAGCGGTTCCCAATCGCTGCCGACCT